TGTCACTGGGCACGGAGACCGTGGAGCCGAGTGATGGGAGAAATTCAGGGGACGACCTCAGGCAGGGTCCAATGATGTCCAATGTGAGAGTGAAACTAGGGATGTTTAATGATGTTAACAGGGATGTTCCCCCCAAAACATCCCAAAACTGTTGCTTGGTGTGGGAGAACTTGGAGAACTGGACGCTCTGGAACACTGAGGCGTATTTTTTGGGGGCGGCACTTTGTGATGGTATTTCAGGCGGGTTCATTCCAAAGCACCCCACCCAACATGGGGCATGTGAGCAGAAATCACCTGAAACCTGCAGGCACCTCGCCTTGGGTGACCCGTCGGGGCGCGACCTGCTGAGGTTTGTGCTGGTTTACAGCTTCTGCGGGCAGTTTCAGGTCGCACCCGACCTGGATCCTTGGGAGCACGAGAGTTGATGCCGCCTGCGTTCGCTGCGTTCGGCATTTTGGGCTGGCATGGCGGGCGTTTTTTGGCAAAAATCGATGACCCGGAGTTCGGATCATTTGTTTTCTGGACTGGGTTCATGGGGAAGATGGATCAAAGACCACAAACCTTCCAGATCACATGTTGCTGGGCCACCCCCCATTTCCATGCCTGAGGTGAGACCAAGAAGGCATGAACTCTGGCACTCGGGTCTGTTGTTCGTATACCGCACCTGAACGGAGAACATGTTTCACTCGCACCGCACAGTCCTCAAAAATGCTAACTAAGAAACCTGACTCAGAGGCCTTAGCCAAAGGCTAATCTCCTGCACAGGGCGATGGAGAGAGACCGATAGAGAGAGAGAGAGAGGGACTCATAGGACTGCGCCCTTTTCGTGGCCAGTTGGGTTGCTGGATTGATGGACCCGGGGTCAACTGACCCATACCACACATTCTTTGGAGTCGGGCTCCAGACCAGATCCACCATGGTGTTCTTCTCCCGGAAGTGGCTTTGGACCACTTGGACCTCAGAACCGGCCAAAGAACTGAGTTCCACCAGAACATGTGCCAGGGAAGGCCCGGTCTGCGGTGTTCGGGTGGCTGAGGTGGAAGCGATTCTGTCCATGTGCGGAAGAATGATACATAGGTGACAAAATTACATGATCATGGACATAGATGTACCAATTTACAAGAACATAATCCTAAATTTTTCAATTAACATCAAAATATAAATCAACATATTAAAATAACTATATTTTTTGTAACATCTAAATTACATTCTGAAACTTGAGTTCCATGGATGGTCCGTTTTTTCAGGACAGTGCTTTGTTGATGGTCCTCCTGGGCACCGTCTTCGAACTCACCTGCTCTCCGGTGCTCTTCGCCGCCATCAGCAGGACCGGCTTTCTTCGTGCATCGGATGGAGAAGAAGGAAGTTGAACAGGAGCAGGCTAAGCAGGTTGGTTGATGTTAGTTGTTCTATGGATTTCTGCTGCTGAAGATGTATGAAGAACTGTGCCATAATCATATGATCTTAGGAGTCATGAGGCATGAAGAAATATGAAGAAAACCTGCTTTAAGCGAGAGCTGGCTGTACTCATGGCTCATGAGTCAGGCCTTCAAGTGTTGAATAGAAGCTGCCTCTCCTAGAATCTCCCACAATGAACTCTTAGATGGTGTTCAGCAGTTATCATCATCACTTCTCGTTTTTTCTCAAGCTGCAGTCGCAGGAAGGCATTCAGTCTTTGGCGGTGCCAGCTGCAACTTATCTTGGATATGGCACCAACTGTTGTTTTGCTATTTTGCTCGTGTGGATGGGCGCGGGGTTCCGGTCACAGTTCGTGACTCACACTTCGTTACATCGCTCAACCGATGTCATTTCCCAAAGAGGTTTCACCCAACTTGAACCACTCAAACACATCCACGTCGACTCTCGTCCCAAGCACGTCTGACTCTCGCAGTGTCCGGGTTGAGCGCCAGAATTGCCGCGCTTGCACGAGCAGCACAGGCTGCTTTTTCTGGGTTGCCTTCCCGGCACCGCCTTGGGCATGTACCTCTTGCTGCAGAGCACGGCGAACCGAGAGATTCTCCAGGTGGGGGACCCGTTCTGAACACTCCGCAGGGTGTTTGGAGAATCGTGGAGCTGGAGGGAAGGCTACAGAGCCCTTTTAAGCTGAAGATGTTTGAACATGTCACCCTGACTCAATACTCAATAATACCTTCGGCTTGGGTTTGTTCAAAGCTTCCTTGGTTGCAAGTGTTTCGTTGTTTCGGATCGTTTAAAGTTTCCGCGTCAACTCGGACATTCACAACGGACAGGTCACGAAAACCGCCCTGAACTTGATCTTTTTCCTCGTGGCGATGTATCGGCTCACGGTGGAGTTCAGAATTGCCACCCCCGCGGAGGACGACTGGACCAGGAGGATGTCACGAGAAGAAAAGAGTGACAACCACTGCAAGTAAGACAAAGACAAGTTGGCTGGTTGGTTGGTTGGTTGGCTGGTTGGTTGGTTGGCTGGTTGGTTGGTTGGTTGGCTGGTTGGCTGGTTGGTTGGTTGGTTGGCTGGTTGGTTGGCTGGTTGGTTGGTTGGTTGGCTGGTTGATGTTGCGGTGATTGTTGGTTGGTGTTTGGAGACGACCGATTCAGACGCGAGAGCTCGAACATGTGTGCCCCCCGTTGGGTGTCTTTGGCATTCATGGTGAACATGTGCTTTTCTAGACATATAATACATGTTTTGAGCTTTAAGAAGGTCCATTCTGTATGATGATGGTGTACTACAGTGACTCAAGTTTGAAGAACTTGGTTCTCAAGCCACCTGTATCAACCGGGCACCTCTCAGCCTGGTGTACTTCCACATGCCTCGGCTTTGCTGGGCTCGCCGAAATCAACGGACCTTTGCTCACGTTTCAGGAGTCGGCTGAGAAGCCGGACAAGGAGCTTTGCCGCACTATGGGACTGGAATTCATCCTCCTGGGCTTTGGCAGTGGCTTCCTCAATGGCTTGCTGGGCTTGCCGGGACCCTTGCGTTTTGGCCGACGATATATGCGGGGGGGGGACACATGTGCCCTTGGCTGCCCCAGAATTAGCGGAGAAGCCATTTGTTTTTGCAAAGGATTTAGGAGATCCCAATTGTAATCCAATGGCTTTTGTGATTTGGGATGCTTGGCATGTGTTGAATCATGTTGAATCCCTGTCCTCCCTTGCTGCGAGTGTGGATGGAAATAGCCCCACCGCATTCCATATGTGCTGAGTGATATTCGAACAGTTTCATGAAGATATAGTTTTGTCTTGAGTGGTGAGGCTTTCAATTCAATCAACATCTTTTGGGCCCTTTCAGGAGGTCTTGGCAGGCATTCCTGATCACGTTTACTTGTTTATTTTGTTCATTTGTGGGACATCCCCAAATTGGTGAAACCTCTGATGATCACTGATGCATGGAGAACCTTCATGACTTTTCTCACCCACCCCCGGCAAAATAATGCTCATCCGCTCATCCGTGCGATCTGAGGATGATGGTCTATTTTGCCACCGTCTTGAGCGCCGGGCGACTGAACGGAACCTGGGCGTGGTGTGGTTTTCACCGTGGAGCCCAGGTGATGGAACTGGCGCACGAGCAATCTGCGCCCCCAACAAGTGGTGGTCTTTCCACTGGGGGACCCTGGTTGACCACGGAATATGAACCGAATAGAATCGAATAGACATAGACTATATATATATATATAAGGAAGTCAGCCTACCAGGGTGAAACTAGCTCTGGGTGCCATGACCCGCATGACCCACAGATAAATGGAAAAACATCGAGCCAAAAGCTGAAGACCCTGGTTGACCCACCAAGGCTCGCACAACTGTTGGAATGCCAACACCATGCCAGCTTTGCCCGGTGCAGGGCGGGTGTGTGTGTTGGTATGTGAAGTTCTTTGATCGAGGCCACACAAGTCACACAAGGAACCAAGGAAAAACATAAACATGTTATTCAGTGTGCACCTACTGGCTGGAACGTGAATCAATGTAGGTGCGGGCTCAGGAGTTGGTTTAATCAAGTCATCCAATGAATGGATGTTTATTTGATTATGCATGTGCATACACCTGAGTGCTAATAGTTTCACGAGAATCAACAGAAATTATAGCAAGGCCGATTGGTTGGGCATACATCGAGGCGCATCAATTGCGGAAGAAGACCGTGAGTGGCTAGGGGGTCCTACTAGGGGGTCCCCTATATCAAGACACCCATGCAAAACCCTTTCAGCCAACCAGTATCAAGCAGTCCACTTGAGCAAGGGCCATTTTTAAGGGCGACATGGTCGGACTTGCCACCAAGCCTGGGACCAAAGAACAGCCTCGGAATGCATTGAGGAAAGACCTGCTTCATCTTGAGCCAGAGCTTCTTCCTGGTGACCGCCTTCATGAGGCTCACTTCCCTGAACTCTCTTGAAGCTCAGGAGCGGCCTTGGGGACATGTAGGCAGCCCAACTGTCCAACCACCCACATGGGCAGTCGGCGGCTACTATGAAGTGGCTACTAGCTTCTACCGGATGCACCCGGTGACGCATCCGTTGGGTCTTTTTGGCAAGCACCATCATCAGTCTATGTCGAGTGGATGTCCGGGATTTTGATGACAGGTGTGTCTTGAGGAAGAATCAGGGCAGGCTCCTGAATCATGTGGTATTCTATTATAATCATATATAATCATCTATATAGTCCAAAGTCTATATTGTATATCCCCGACTATCCATGTAAGGAATAGTTCCTTACATGGATGGGTCATGAGTGGATAAATGCATGTGACTGGTAATTTTCCATACATGGATGGTTTGGGTATGTACCTTGCTTGGAGGGTTTTCTGTTTGGGAGATGCACGCAGTCGGATTCAGGGACATCAACCGGTTGACAGTGACAGCCATTTGGCGACAGAAGTGCGACAGAAGACAGAACCAACAGGAATATGTACGACAGGCCTGCCATGACCTACTTGCAAAAGTACAATGATATCACTCTACACATGCAAGATAACTTGCAACATATTGCAAGCATCATATTTCCAAGACGTTGGCTTTTGCATTTTACAATTGTTCTACCACAAAAATACCGCCGCCCAGACAACAGACAAGATGTTCTTGCCTCATCTACATGGATTCGTTATCAATTTCCCAGATGAGGACTACTCTGAGGAGGCTGAAGATGAGCTGGAGCACGTGCACCACGTGCTGCTCCGTGAGTTCTCCCGTTTGGGTCGGGTGCTGGGTCGTTGGCAGTTCAAAGGCATCATACACCTGGACAAGTACCTGGAGCCTCATGCTGTTCCTCCTTGTGTAGATCTAGAGAGGTTAGCTCGGTGGAGAGCTCGGAACTCCTTCAATCATGTGTCAACGATTCTCGTGGAATTGAAGAGCTGCTGGACAGGGGATTGCTGCAGTGGCTTTCATGGTGATTATGACAGTGTCATTGGTGTGCTGCGCAGGGAATTCCCTGGCCTCGCGGACGCGACCATTGTGTCAGATTCGGTGGGAAGGTTGAAAAAGGCCTTGCTCACATGTGCTGTGCAGGAAGTGGGGCCGGAAGCACCATATTCGAGTGGGGACAATGAGTGGGAGTTCAATCAGCCTTCTGGGAGAAAGCCAGCAAGATCACGCAGCCGGTCAAGAGAACGACCAGGGCAAGATGCCAGAGAGACCACAGACTTGCAGGAAAAGCTGCGGAGGAGTGAAGCGGCATTAGACAGAGAACGAGCAAAGCGAAGACGCCTGGAGGAAGTGTGGGATTCTTTGGTCAGACTAGATTTGAAGGAGATCCTGAGCCAAGTAAGTCAACTTCAAGAGGTAAAGGAGGTCACAGAGGATTCGCTACAATGCAAAGACGCAGAGGTTCGCGAGCTCAAAGCTCGTTTGTCAAGTGAGAAAGAGAATCATCAAGAGTCCTTGAAGCAGCTAGAAGATGTACAGAAGTTGTTGACTGCAAGCTCTGAAGAAAATGAGCAGCTCAAGGCTGAAGTGGAACTACTCCAGAAGCGCACCTCCAGCATTGCCACCACTCAAGGTGCAATATGGCAGTACAAAGTGGATGGATGCTGGCACGCGTTTCCACCTGAAGGCAACGATCAAATCAATGAGGCATATTTAACATACCTCCGTGATCCACTCAAAAGCTTAGTATTCATCAACTCTGCCGGCATCACCCGCCGAGTTGATTTCAAGGCTATGCTGCAAAGGCGCGGTGACAACGGCTGCGTGCGGCACATTCGCATCGTACCTGGCGTGCCAGAGCAATGGACAACGCCGCCCAGAAGGTTGCTGTTGCCAGAGGTTGGTCAGCCTGACTCCTTCTATATCAAGGTGACAGATATGAACATTCATGCCAAAGTGCGTGATATTCTGCAACAGTCAGGTCATGCATGCAACGACAATCTCATTTGCTCATGCATGAGCACAGCTAAAGTGATTTCGGTGCACAGGATTGAGAACTGGAGCCTTTGGCAAGGATACAAGGCAACGCGTGCCGCTTTGCGACAAAAACATGCTAACTTCAATATTTCAGCCACTCCTGTAGACCTGGATTTGGATGGCAGTGGCACAAAGATCATGACCAGTCACCAAGCTGCTTTCAACTGCGGAGATCCTTTGGAAGAGGATCTGCAGGAGAAGATACTGCTGCATGGCACAAGATGGGACAACGTGGATTCTATCATTCTGAATGGCTTTGATCCTCGAACATCCCGTCGCGGCATGTATGGCGAGGGGGTTTACTTTGCAGCAGCAGCTTGTAAGAGCCACCAGTTCCTTGGCAATCACTTATAGACAATATAGTCAATGCATGTCAATGCCAGGCCCATTGCGTCATCCCCTCAAGCAAAGGTAAAGACAGTATATCGAGCGCATGATTTGGGAAAGGGTACCTGGTACCTTGTAGAGGTTCCTGACTTTAGTCAAATACATGTCATCACCCCAGTATTATGGCGCATGAGCTAGTTGCCTGATAGTTTGTGATGAGATGTTCCATCGGCGCGTTCCAAGGGGGCACGTTTCCGGACGCTCGTCCCGCGGTACGTGTTGTTGGTCTTCGATTTGATGGCACAGGTGAAATGCTTTTTGTTTTGCTTTTGTGCAATGTTGTACTTTATATAGCCACATCCAGAGCAAAATGCAAGATTGGCCGGTATCAGGTGGTGTGGGTGATAGCAAGTCAGGTACACGTGCGGGAAGCATTCGTCGTGCTGCGGCTGCAAGCTGGAACGCACCTTGATCATTGCTCGTGTTACACTTGGTGATGCATATGCGGCAGAGAAGACAAGGCGCAAGGAGCGAAGACCACCAGTGCGAGACAGTGCTCTTGGACTTCTTTATGATTCTGTCGTGGTCAATCCTGGGCCAATCGATGGACATCACAATGAAACACAGACTCATCAGGAGTTTGTGATCTGTGATGGGAAACAGGCATACCCATGCTACGTGGTACAGTACGTTTTAGACGAAGATGACTGTCATGTATAGATGGGTTGCGTGCGAACGTTGCTGAAATTGATGGTTGAATCATGCGGAAATTGCATTTTGTCAAGACTTGGGTCGCTACATATATTGCCGCATTTTGTTTCAGTTATTTAGGCCACCTCGTGCTGATTCAGGCACGACATTTTCTTGACACCTTGCCCCTCACGGAGAAAGATTGCCTTGTTGTCAGTCAAAAGGTGCACTGAACTAAGCTCCAAAGACCAATTCAAGGGCAACTAGAAGCCTTTTAAACCATTGAGACTGCCCCAGGTCATTAGAAGTGGAAGACAGTTAATTCGCGATCGCGGAGTGTAGAAGAGAAGCGAGGTGCCCTCAACAGTGGGGTTGATCCACAATGCAGGGATTTTGCAGGGCACGACCTGTTTCAGACATACTTGGAAGGAATGCCTATTGTACATTCTCCCGATCACGTGTTTTGGGTGAATCACTGGGCGTCAGTCAAGTTCGTCCGCCGTCGTCACCAGGCCCCAGTTCTGCAGTTTTCCCAGAATGTTCAATGACTCGTGTTATACCACCTGGGAGTCAAAATCCACCACTACAATAGGAGGAAAGATGCGTCATTTGGACTCTCAGGGCATTTTATGTGACCGTCTTTCCACAGCTGAGCAGACTTGAACCATGTCGGCTCGAGGTGGTTGGGTGTGGAGACTGAGCACGAAAAGTGACCAAATCCACTCAATCAGGGCCGCCTCGTGTGTTTTTTGTGTTCTTAAATTCTTGGGGACCTCCTCAGCTTGTGCTTCGCTGTGCGTGGTGTTTGGGGGGGTTACTGAAATAGTCAGCTTGTGGCGGAGCAGGCCATACTCAAGATGATCAATGATTGTATTCTTCTGCACTGGAAACGGTCACTGGACTGTTTTTTTTTTGTCAATCTATGTTGTACACTGTATATAATTCTTCACTGATCTGCAGCTCCGGCATTGTTCAGGAGATGTTGATGCAGCACTGGCAGCTGGCGGCCATCATCCCTATCCCCACCCTGCTGGCGCTTTGGGGCGGTTGGCGAGAAGGAAAGCGCTTCAATACCAAGGCCAGAGCCGGTGCTATCCGGTGCCATTCACACCAAAAAGGACCAATTTGCAGTCCAACATGGTATAAGCGCATGGAGGAATGTAGGAATGACTTGTTATTTGGGGGACAGGCGACGGATTTTGGGGTGGCAGGTCCGCTTCCAAGCGGGAGGAGCGAGAACCACTCTTGACGCCTTGAGCATTTCAACTCAACAATTTTTGACACAGCAGACTGCGACTGAACATAGACAGTTTGCCGGTCAGTGATTGATGGGTTTGATAATAGTCCGGCAAGACCATGCTAAGACAGCAAGATTCAGATTGTTTGCTCCAGCTGGATGGTAGCGATTCTCCGACTACTCGCAGGATACTGACAAAACGGGTTGACATCCTTTGTCATGTTCTATAGGGGTCCTGGCTACCAGTTTCTTTTGGTTCTTCACTTAGAGTTTGGAAGGTGCCTCCTGGGGCCATGTCCACGGGTGATGCTGGTGGACATGTAAGGGCATGGAGGGGTGGACAGGAACTTGGAAGCATCAATTGTTCTACAGAATGACCAGCGCAGATGGGCTGGTTAGTGATGTTGGTCCAGATTTGAGGTCATTTCTAGTCAAAACTGAGCCTTCCGGAGCAGTTCTCCCCACCCGCACCCCCATGGGGCCCATGGGCCGAATGCATCAACTAATCTGAACATCAAGTTCACAGTGGAACCATTCGCCGACTCATTTGGAGGTCAAGACCACACAAGAGATCAGCAGTCAAACCTTCCCATCTCGCACCGGGGCCGGGCCTAAGGACGTCCTTTTCGGGCACGTTCCTCTTGGGTGAAAACGGTCGATGTGCCGGTCCACGGGTCTTTCAAACTGAAAATCGTCGTGGACTGTGCGGACTCGGCGGACTGGGTCGAAGACCTAGACCTAGGCCTTGCTTCGAAGCGTTCTGGTGCTGTTGTTGGTGTCATCGATCATGGGCCTGGGACTCTTCCAGGCGAAAGGAGGGAGAGGTCGGAGAGGTCGCCGAGCGGAGAGGTCGCGTTAGATCGAGTGTTAGGATGGAGACTGGGACTGACTATTGACAGCATAAGAAATCATTAAACAACCTGGCACTCCCTGAAAGAATCATGGAAGGGTGAAAAAAGACACAACATGAAAAACCCACCTGTTTTATCCAGCGGGCCATGTGGAAACTTCCTTTGAACAGACTAGTTCGTGCTGGTGCCTTTTGGGCTTTTGCTCTTCCCAGCGCATCAACTTGCGAACATGTGCCAGAAGGTGGGGGAATGGATGTATTTTTCTTTTTAATGGACCTAGTGACAATGTATCATGGATCATTATAGATCCATGAAGTTCTCCCCTTTGGCCCTGGTATATAATTTGAAAGCACTTCTGACCATCTCTGCAGCTTTTGTATCGTCGCATATCGTCGCCCAATCGGGAGGCCTCAGTGTTGAGCATTGTGGCAGGGAGCCTGGCCTTGGTTTGGCTTCCCCTGGTGCCTTGGCCTTTTTGATGTTTTTTTGGGGTTCATTTGGTGGCTGGTGGATGGCATGGATGTTCACCGAACCCTGCTGAACATCTTCCATGTTCAGACCATGTGAGCCTATATATCGGCGTTATAATATAATAGGCATTATATATACCGGAGTGTCTCCATAAAGAGGTTGGCGCGTCCGGACGGATCCCTTTCATCTCTTGGGGGATCGTTTCCCCCTCAAACGGTTCGCGCAGCAAAGCCCGCTGGGTTCGCGCTGGAACCGACCGGTCGGAACGCAGTGGATGGGGCTCAAGGGGAGGGTTGAGGGGACGACCATGGACGACCATGGACCAGATTTCTATAATGGCTTCTTGTTACTACTTGTGAGGCCCTTGCTCCTAGTAGCGATGCACTTGTTCCTAGTAGCTTATTGTTCTATAGCGGTTTGTCGATTTCTAGTCCATTCAGTTGTCTATAGCGGTTTGTCGGCCTGTGACACATCTGACCGTACGCACCTTTCACGGTTTCTCACCAGCCGCTTGTGAACCGGGAGGGTGTTTCACCGTCAGGTGCTGATCCGCCACTGGTTGGCGCATCCACTCAAAGATCTCAGCCACGGGGGTGAAGAGGCGCGTGACATGTGGAATCAGGGCAGGTGTCACATCCCCCGCAAAATGGCGTAAGACTGCATGACGGCCCACTGGTTAAAGGAGTGATGCTGAACATCCCCTTGTTGGGAACTAAATCACACGAGAAGGTATCTTCAAGAGGGCAATTGCTGGATCCAACCAAGACATGGGGACACGTGGGTATTCTTTGGAGCTGATTTGGTCATCTTCTTTGCACCGGACAGGGTGAACCGGAGAGGTGTTGTTGGGTGTTCTGCATGGACTGGGTGTTGTCACAATTTCATTCTTCCGGAATCGATCACCCTAGACAGGTGCGAGATGGTTTCTGCACAGGAGATACTTACTTTCCACAATTTCCACTATGGACAGTGAACATGGCCTGTAAGACCAGTCTCATCGACCATCCAGTGCTTACTTCAAAGGGTCCATAATGTGGTCCTTTGGAGTGTACATTCCTCCAAAACGCTCGCCTTCCCCATGTGCCGTGTCTGTTCCCAGTGCCTTTCCAGTGCCTTTTCCAAGTGCTCCAAAGCGTATGAGTCCCTCCAAGCACCTCTTGAGCACCTCTTTCCGACCCCCGAGCGGTCGCTTGCAGGCGGCTCCCCGCGGCGGAAGCCCGGAGGAAGAGGCGGCCGTTGCGGCTTACACCGCGGAGGTGCAGGTGTGACGGAAGCCCGAGTGATCCAGCTGAATGTCAGGGCCTCCCAATGCGAAATCGAGCAGTGAAGAGTGAAGATGGCCTATCCTTCAGTGACAAGAAACCGAAACAAGATGAAATAGCACCATCGAAACTGAAACTGATAGTTCATATATAGGTTGAACATGGTTGAAAAAATGTTGAAAATATGTTGACAAATACCCCTTGGCTGAGACTGTCAAGTTCAGCTGCCGTGAAAAGAGTGCCCGGAGTGGCAGTGGGGGGTCCTGGCTTGTAGATCGAATCAATTTTGCTCAGTTTTCTCAGCCCGCTGACGTGATTGGCCTTGGCCTGGAAATGAGCTGGTGACTGCAATCACCAGGTGAGACTCTCGTGAGGATGGCCTTTTCTCCTGGCAAGCAACTACGTAGTGGCATGTTTGGCTGTAAGTCAGCCTAGAATCTGAAGAAATGCACCTTCATATAATATACCGTATACATTTGCATATACATCCGTATAATATACCTAATATACCGTATACATCTGTATATACATCCGTATACCTTCATTGAAGGGATTATAGTAGCATGGAATTTAACGGAGGCTGAAGTTCAAGAGCCCAACACCAAGCTCTAAACAGCAACTGTCTTAGTAGATAATTCCGACCATGAAAACTGGCTCATGGTACCCGCTCTTAGTCGGTTTCTGTCCATCACAATCACATGATCCTGTGTGTACTTATAATATATGGTCATTGACTTCCAGAAGTGGGTTCATCAGAGGATGCAAATAGAGGCTTAGCGGCTTGGATGCTGCAGTTGGCCGAAAAATCCACACGTCATCGAGGCCGCATGTTTTCTACTCGGAGTCCTTTTCGGAGCATTGGATTCTCCACAGACATCAGGTGAAGGACACCGACCGGTTGGATTTCCCTTTGGATCCGCCCTCATAGATGACCGAGACTTTGGCCTATTTCTTCTCGTGCCGACCGGGAAGCTCCTTCACTTCCCAAGCCTGGTTCCTTCATCCACCAAGGCCCTGAATAGAGAAAAAGCGGTCCTGGAGCCACTTTTTGGAGGTCTAAAACATCCCTGTGCCGATGGGTGTGTTCAACCCACACCGATGCAACCGGGGGTTACCATGGGTGGGTTCTTTCGGAGGGGGTCATTGGGCATCATGTGCCCCCCCATCAGGGAAGCCAAGGTGCTACCGGTAGTAGCTGCGCTTCCCGGTGCAGCTCGGTTTGGAAAGTCGGGGGGCCTTTGGCTTCAATGGAAGTGGACCATGCATCATGCTTTGTTTATTTAAGATTAGGTTCCACAAGCGCCATAGACCAACATGTGCCTCCAGTTGGGCTGTACCTCAACTCCAGCAGGACTCCTCCCTTCACTCGTCCAGTGTAATTTTTGCACCAGTTTGGCTCGCTGCACCTAGCTGCACTGCGAGCCATGCCTGGCATTTGCGGCGCCATGGGGGTGCCATGTGGGCGCCAGGGGGGCGCCCGCGGACCGACCGACCGGCTATGGAGTCAGTTGGGATTTCAAAAGTGGTCGAGTGCCGCAGTCCGCGTTGGCACGAAGCCTGATGTTTATTCCATAGTTTTGTTTTTTGTTTTTTTCCAGCAAGGCGTTGAGTCTTAGGACACTGTACGCGCTAAGAAAGAAAGATTTTTGCGGATTTCTGTGGATTTCTTTTGAGTCCTTTCAGCACATTCAAGCACTTGGTGCACTCTAGATTTGCTCTAGAAATGTGATCTCCAGGGTTTCACCCAATTTCATGCCAGCGCTTTTGCTGGGTGCCCCCCCGTTTGCAACACCCCGCCGGCTCAGGCGGTGATTCAACGCTTGGGTGTTCGCCGCTATCCCATGTTCATCATCACCCCAGGCTCAGGCGTGTGATGGACGAGTCGACTCGACCGGTTGAGTTGCGGACTTCTCTGTTTGATCAGGGAGTTTCTGGTCTTGGCCTCGCTGGGGGTCAGAGATGTGTGGGACTTGGAGACACGGATTTGTTGTGGCCTGAGGATTTGGAGGCTTGGAGATCTTAGAATCCAGAAAGGAAGATTGATGTTTCAAAGCTACGTGAGTGACATCGGGTGGCATGGCCCTGATGGTGCCATCCACTTCCATGGATTATTTCAAGGAGAGTAAGTGGTTGTTCTTTTTTTCTCCCTGATGACTTTGAGCCCTTCCCTTCTCACCCGTTCTCACCTACTTCGCTGATGGTGACTGTGAGAGGGTGTTCGTGCCAGCCTTGACAGAAAGCCAGAAATCAGTGGCTGGGGGCTATGTGGGGCCATTATGGTCCACCAGAAAGTCGTTGTTTGAACTGTTCAGATTTCCAAGGTGCAGTGTAAGATCAATCAAGAAGAATTTGGTGGGAGCAACATGCCGTAGGAGAGTTTTGCCACTTGCAATTGACATGCCCAGATTTGTGAGCATACTGTGCACCTAAAATTGTTCGTGGGCCAAGTAGTGACGAAGTTAGCTTTGGTACATCTATTAGCTGCATAGGGTTATTGCCATGGCTTCTTTCTTAAGCAGACTCGTGCCTTTTTGCCCCACTCGTGAAGTACAGATGGATTAGATGACCTCAGGCGACTTCTGCGGCTTCGTCCGCCAGGCCGGCCACACCAAGTCTACTTCCCGCATGGCTTCGCAGCTGAGCTCAGTATGGGACTCCCTCAGCCGCTGCAGCGTCACGATCTCGGCGCGTGGAGTAGGTTTGGACGCCGGAGGTGAGGTTCCCAAATGACATCTCAAATGACCCAAGTGTTCCATCATCGTTTTGGGAATCCCTAGGCAGGTCATATATTATACTATATTTTGGGGGGGGCATGGTAGTTCAGATCAGCAGCTTCATACCATTTGTCGGAATCCATGGGATGGGAATATCTCGGACTTGGCAACTGTTCGCACGCACACACACACATGACACTTTCGCAGTTGCCTATGTTTGATCGTTTTTCCGGCACATTTGTGGCAACCGCGGAAAAGGTCAACCTTCCTTTTAAGTTCTCAGGTGACTCAGGTGTTCCAAAATTGCAAGAGGAGGGGGAGAGAGAGAATGCCAGAGTGAGATTGGCATAGATTGGGCCCATCTATGACTGAAACAAAGGTAGTGCTGTTCTTAGCAGGCTTGTAGAACTAGGCTGCGGTCAAGTTCGTTTGGCAATTCAGCGCAGCTTGTGCACCATCCCCTGCGGAGCTGCAAGCCCGACTGAGGATTTCTTTCATTTCGGTGACTCTGTGCGGCAGGTGCGGCCGTTTCAAGCAGACCAGGTCACTCACACAATCATAAGATGTCGAACGTTTTGAAACATGCGATCACTCCCCGTTTTTGGATGGAAAGAACATATATTTGTGCTACGAGCGCTACCCTGGTTGGTTTCATGATGTTGAGAATGCCGTGCCATGCCAGGTTTTGTACGAGACGACGAAAACACGGGTAAACTTGCAACGATGAATTCGGAACCCGGGCAACCCACTAGACTTGCAGTTCTTTTTGTGGGGGGGGAGATTCTGATGTTTGAGACATGCCTCATGTTTAGATTTATGGGAGACTTCCTTGTCCTTGGCATTGCACACAAAGGTGGAAGGCAGATCTCTCCGGCTGACTGAACTGCTGCACTGCTCCAGCGCTTTCGTCCAATCACGTCCTCCTTACTCGTTAACTAACCCGTCGACTCGTCTCGACTTCATAAAAACCGGAGCCATGGAGAGCGCACAGACCCAGACTCATCCCGCCTGGTGTGTCATCTATGGAGTTGGCATCATCTTCTTTTTGGTTCTCTATGGAATCTTTCAAGAAGGAATCATGACAGTGCCCTATGATGGTGCCCTCTTCCAGTATTCCGTCTTCTTGGTGCTGTGCAATCGCTTGGCAGCGGTGGTCTTCGGCCTGGTCATGGCAGTGTCCAAAGGCGAGCAGTTGACCAACCAGGCACCACTCTGGAAGTACTTGATCGTGTCGTTGTCCAACGTCTATGCAAGTACCTGCCAATATGAGGCTTTGAAGTACGTGTCGTTTGCAGTGCAGATGCTGGGCAAGAGCTTTAAGATGATGCCAGTGATGATCTGGGGCATGATCATTTCAGGAAAATCCTATGGCTTGCGTGACTGGGGTGTAGCCCTGGCAGTCACACTGGGATGTACAGAGTTCTTGATGACCGGACCGACGAATTCCAAGGTGGACTCTGGAAACAGCATGTAGCTTGGAGGTGACATGTCCCATGTGCAAGCGGTTCTTTTTCTGCATATTGCAAGTCTTTTTGACCATGGCGGACCTTTTCATGAAGCTAGAACTGGCATTCCAAGAAGCTTCTTGGGGTTCCCAGAGCTATTTTCGGAGAGCCGAGGTGGGGCTTTGTGCTCTTGGGTGGCTTTTTAGCGCTCGATGGATTGACATCCACCTTCCAAGAAAAGCTCTTCAAGGAACACCAGACCACGAAGTACAACCAGATGGTATACATCAACAGCTTGTCAGCGACGGTCTCGACTGTGACTTTGCTGGCGACGGGCGATTTGGTGCCTGCCATTGGCTTTGGTCTGGACCCTCGGCTGTGATTTGCTCTTTGGGTCATGTCAAGATAATTGCAAGTTCGAAGCACAAGAAAAGCTTCGGCGGGTAGCCAACCACGGTAGTGTTTAGTCCACGTTATATAGTCAACACATGTTTCAAACATGGTGATCTCGTAAGCCATCCAGTGCCCAGGCACATCCCAAGTTCCTGTTGGACAGCGCCCTGCTGAGCGGCTCCGCTGTGGCCAGCCAGTGGTGCATCTACTCCCAAGTGAAGGAATTCGGCGCCTTGGTCTTCGCAGCCACCATGAATGTGCGCCAAGTGGTGTCCATCCTGGTGTCCTACGTGAAATATCACAACCCCGTCACGGGGCTTCAGATCCTGGGTTTGGTGATCATCTTCGCCGCCCTGTCGTGGAAATCGCTTTCAGGGCTTCTGAAGGCGCAAGACCCAGAGAAGAAACCCCTCATGGATGCGGAAAAGCCAGCTGATGCTATGGACAAGAAGGTTTGAGTGGCTAGCTGAGTGTCCTGTGTGCCTCCAAGAGGCTCGAACTGTTCGCTTC